GCTTGAGTTAAATGAATTGTCTTTTGCGTAAGTATGGGTAATCACACGCGATTTTTGCGTTCTGTTATATATGTACAATGGAGGACAAAAGTATTTTGACAACATATTGCAAAAATAAACCGCTTATTTCTGCGTGCTGACACGGAAATACCGGCATTATTCTTCGTGACTGATTGATATTTTAAAGATTTCACTTAATCACGTATTTGCCTATCATTTACCGATAAGTATGATCAAATAATGATCAAATAATAACTTAAAAAAATAAAAATACGTATTTTTTAATCCAAGCGAATCACCAAAAATGAATTTAAAAAGGAATGTCAAAATACTTTTGTCCACCCAAATTATGATAATCCGCCTTGCAAATAATTATAGAAAAATAATGATTTATGAGTTATTTTGGTCACTTAAAGCTTTTTATATTTGCTCTCTCTGAAAAATATAACCGTTACCTCTCTCAGCACGCAGGAATAAGCGGTTATAGTTTTTGCAAAATGTGGTTAAAGTACTTTTGTCCTCCATTGTATGTATGTATGTATGTATTTGCATAAACACGAAGATCATTTCTGTTGAGTTTTATAGTCAAATTGTCTTTTGCTGAGAGGCTTTGTGTAAACGAAAATAGTATTACTCTTACAATGAGTCAATGCGAAGCGCTTGACCAAAACCTATTCAAAACAATACAAAGAGAGTCGCTCATAGCGAGATTGTGTCTGCACAAGCTATGATATAAAATTAAGAAAAATTATAATTATTTATCACGCACCTTTAACGATACTATCGTCCACTATCGAGACATCGAACCATCGATAGTTCAGTSGCTCGATAGTGCCCGACCATCGATAGTGACTATAGTGCCATCGATAGTTTAGCACCTCTACCCTGAACCTGTTGAAAATGGGAAATCAGGGTATAATGGCTTTATTAACTGTATGTAACAGGCAGAAAGGGCGTTGCAGACCCCATTTATATATAAATTCTTGATCAGGGTGACGTGCTGAGTCGATTTAGCCCTGCCTGTCTATGTATCTTTCCGTCCGTCCATCCGTATATATGAACGCGTCGTTCTCAGAAATATAAGAGATACTTAAATTTTTGTTTAAAATGTTTGTATATTCAACGCGGATATCGAGTTTGCTTTCCATGCGTGTTTATGCGTGCGTGTCTAATGTACTGTGTGCGTTCATGTGTGTATGTGTTGTTCCCTGTATAAACCGACAGACCCAAATCATTTTTGAAATATCAGTTCCTTAAAGGCTTAGGGGATGTCGTAGTCAGGCAGCCTCGACTAGAGCTTTCTTACATATTTTAAATTTTATGTTTGAATTATAAAAAGTACTCACTTTGTGCAAATCTGCAGAGCGCAGCGATAAACCGAAACAATGCTGATCAGAAAGTGTAAAAATAGGACAAATATTAGTCCGCAAGCAGCTGAAACTTCCCTATGGGCATTCATCAGGTCAAACTGCAAATAATAGTAAAAGCAATAGCAACAAGATACATATGTAAATAAAAACAAAGTGGAAAGTTACATTAATTTATGTTTTTACCTGTTCACCCTTTTGTTCGGCCATGCGATTGAGGTCACGCGACAGGCCCACACCAGAAATGGCCAGCGCCAACGTACTGCTGGCAATGCATACCAAACTGAGCGCAAGAAATGCCGTCTGGGTTTTGCGTATGCTGACCACGCCCAACGAACCGGTGACGGCTGCAATCAAACCTGTCCAAATACCGGCCATTGACAAGGCCGCGTCGCGCACTATTAACAGGGAGCCGAGCGCCACCAATGAAATGGCCAAAACCAGTTGAAAAGTACCTAACATTATTTGCAATGGAAATGCGGAGCAGCATTCATTGCTGGCCCGATGCTTGTGCCGCGCCTTGGCTGATAATGTGGAGACATTGGCTCCAATATCACCGGTACCATTGCCACTGCCGCCCTTATATTTGATGAATTCTGGTGGACAGCGTTGCTTTTTGCTGATGCGAGAATCGATGGTATTGCTAATGCTCTTGACCGGTGTACGTGGGACCGATGCGTCTGACAGTTGGTGCTTAAACTCTTCGTGGCTTATGAGCTTTGACTTCTTTGTTTGATCATCCTTATCAGCATCCACATTTAGCGCATTGGCCAGCAATGTAGCAGCCGTTAGCATCAATGGAGGCGAAAGTTTCTCATCGTAGACAGGACTGGAATATATGTGGCTCTGAGCATCAACATGCTGACGTTCACCCTGTTCAACTTGCTCCTGCTTCTGCTGACCCTGCTGAAAATCCCTCCGTAGTATCGCTATTTGTGAGTTAGTCAAGCTACTGTCGTCATTGGTCGCATTGGTGTTTTGCTCAATGGTATTGGTCACTTGCAACAGATTATTTCGATTCAGACTGCGATCCACAATCGTATCCATGCTGCCCGTTGTTGAGTCGTGCGAGTCTATAGTACGTGCTGGTGATGCCGAGTGCCGACCATTAAATTGTTCACTGCTGCTGACCATCGCCTGTTGCGTGTTGTTTGCTTCGGCCATGCTATGTCATTGGCTCATTGGCCTTGTGCTGCAGATGAAAGTATGGGTTAATGCTCAAAATTTTTTTTGAATACTTTCCTAATTAGGTAAGTGCGTAACGACACTGACCAGAGAACACATAGACTAGACATGTAGTACACAGTTTTTCAACACCGAAAAATCTGTCTCCTAGGGCCTATCGATTTCGTATGTACTCGGCTCTTCACTTTTAGGTTCGGGCTACGAA